CTATTATTTTTGGCTCATATATGTAACTTTATTCATTTATTGAAACTCATTTACATGCACACACTGTCCTAAGGGCAAGGCTGAACTGTACATGTAATCAAAATAATGTACAAAATGAATACTAAAATTTTAGTCTCGTGTAATTATTGCATGTTTACATTCAAATTTATCACTATCTTATAAGAATTCCAGCAATGGAAATTATATTCTCCCCGGTCACTTCTATGAAATTTTATAAGCAAAAAACAAAAACTCAATCTAATGGACATAAATAAACAAATAAATACTTCACTAGACTTTCAGCGTTAATTGTCAAACCTGTCACTGTCACCCCTCCTTCCCTCCCTCCCTACCCCCCACTCCCTCTCCCAGCAAGGGTTTGGTGGTTATACAGTAGGCTTTAAGTTTTTATCTTATATAATGGAACTAACGTTCCTCCGGTCTCACTGGCAACCAGAGACACCGCACCAAGTGATGTGGTGAATGATTTCTAAACAGCTGAAGACCGTGGAAAGCAGCAAATCATCATAAACATGAAGCAGCAATTGGTGACCAGAACATAGAATTCCATGATACACTGTAGAAACACTGGTCAAAACCAATTTGCAGATTTTTATAGAGTAACTCTTTCCACCATACAGAAGGTTCAGAAAATTATCAAAGCTGACAATGTTACTGTAGTGATTACTCAATGCTGTCACTGCAGGTAGGATAGTGGAAATGGTGAACATATTAAAGCATGAGCTGTCCCTAACATCTCGTCTTTACTGTAGTTAAGAAGAACATCTGGCCTAAGGCGTAGGTGCTTTAAATTTTGGTCAATCACTGTAATATTCCTGCCATCAGACAAGGACAACATGTACAGTAGCTAAAAAAAGTATCTGGCAGTGTGGGTCCGATGACTTCCAGAATTATACATACAACTCGTGATGTCTCGGGAGGGTTGGTATGCGTGTCTTGACCCACCGCCATTCAGTATGCAACACACGGGGGTGAGTTGGCATATAGGAATAAAATAAACGATTGAATGATTACTAACACATAGTATAAGGAGACAACACGCATATCTCAATACCTAGCATCCCTTGTCTCATATTGTTTCACGCAGAGTATGCACAGATAATTTTTTTTAACTATTGTACATTAATTCTTACCCCCTAATTATGTTCCTTCCCCCCTTTTTTTGCCCCCTTTTCACCCCTTCTAAATTTTCAAAATTATCAAAGCAGAATTTCTCCATTACTATTTACTCCTTTGCCATGAAATTGATATGACTAAGAGAACTTGTACTATCCTTGAATATAATAATCGGATACCTCTGTTTTGTCTTCGGTTTTAGGCCTATCAATTTTTCAAAATTTCTTTAAAAAATTCATATTTTTTAAAGAAGATAATCACGAAAAAAAGCCCTGCTAAATTGATGAAATCGGAGATTATAGCTATGTTGACTTTTGTCTTGTGCTAGATTTTGTTTGACTGAAATGGGTCAAAAAACAGCTGAGAAATACTAAGTTGAATGTGCAAAAAGTATATTTTGAGATACAGGCCGGTAAAGTTTTGCAGCCCCCCGCTCCCTTGCAGTCGCTCCTAAGTTTGGAGACAAATAGATTTTCATTCTTGCTGCCTGACTTCTTCTGAGGATTCTGATACCAGCTCTTATCTAACTGAGATGCGTGATGAGTCTTGAGTGCTTGCATCTTCATACGAGCCTTGAGAGGCCATGGTAGAAGAGCGAGGTGGTGCATGTCATGTACTTGGGAGAGGAGGACGGGCTCTCTTGAGTGCTGATATTATCTTCCTCTTCTTCATAGATTATTGAAACCACTGATTACGTACTTCCTTCAGGTGTCTCTTGCACTTGGAGTCTCGTCCCATCCTAAAAATACTGGAGAGAAGCGTGGCAGAGCGAGGGGTGCTGGGCAGTGGACTCAGACCCCTTCTCTTGATTAGAGCTGGAAGCCCACTGAGTCTGAGTTAGTACTTAGTATGTCTCACTCCCTCGTTCACTCTTGTCTTTAGAGGGAGAAAGTTACACCAATCGATTTCTAAAGTTATTTTTTAGCTATTTTTACACAACAGTACTTTCCTTGTTGAATACTTTACTATGACTATTGACAGGACTATCCAAGGCTGCGAGGGGGCGGGGGTGGGTCGAAGAATCTTATATATGAGTAGAAGAATAAACATTACAATTATTGTTATAAAACTCTGTATGTAAACAGTCCAATGTGATGCCATCACTCAGGATTTTTTCAAATACTTTTATCTTTTCCATTTTCATTGATCTCAAGACCAGATGCTCTTCTTAAGTCTGGTGAAGAGATGAATTCTACACCAAAGGCAGAGCAGATCAGTATCTTAATGGCTGAACTTTACATTCCTTCAGAAGTTCCCACATCTGACATGAAGTTATATGAGCTGATTGATGGCCATGCACTCATTCAAGCCTTGGGGAGACCTCAGGGATGTCAGACATTTGGTGACTATGCAAATGCATTCATTAAAACTGCGGCATGTCACTTTGGTGAGCACTCAACCAGAGTTGATCTGCTAATTGACTGTTACATTAAAGAGGAGTCAATCAGAGCAGTGGCACTTTCCAAGCAAGAAGAATCCTATCCACAAGTTGATCTATAGGCCACATGTCCCACTTCCACAGGTTTGGAACCAGTTAATAATCTTGGATGAGAACAAGGCCAATTTCTATTTGAAGCCATCATGAAAAAGGGCAAATCTCTACCAGAGTGTATGACTGATTAACAGCAGGAGGATTCCCTGATGCTACTGAAGCCAGGTCTTCAAGCAAACCATGAAGAGTGAAGAGATTGATATAGATCTTATGCTAATTGCATATGAGGCTGCAAACAGAGGTTATGAGAGAATCCTGGTCAACAGCAGAGATACTGTTGTTATGCTTCTACTGGTGCTTGTTGTACCTGCAGAAGCTGCAGATTTGTGGATGATATCTGGAACAGCCAAGAAGAAGTAATGTTATCTGATTCTGTTCCCAAAAGTTTCCCCTAACTGGATGTGATATGTCCTCTTCCTTCAGTGAACATGAAAAGAAGTACCTAGTGAAAGACATTCCAACAATGGCTACTGTTGGTCAAGGGAATTGGTCATGATTGAAATCTTGCACCAGTTGAACAATTTGTGTTCCACGTGTATTGCACTCCAGAGCAGTGAACTGTTAGCCATGCCAAACTCCAACTCTTTTTTTTTCAAGGCCAAGAAGGGTCTGGAGATATCACCTCCCATAGATGCCCTGGAGCTTCACAGTGTAGGCACCAATTAACAGGTTAAGATCTGGCTCCAGGCATACCAGGAGCACATAGATGTTTCAGTCCCCACCAACACTGCTGCCTTGACATGGAACCAGGTGATCTGTAAGCTGTCTGAACAAGATTACCACCTGTCCTAGATGCCTGTCTTAAGCTTGTGACCTGTGAATGCTGAGCAAAGTGCAGGATAGCTTGGTGTACTTGTTTAAAAGGGAACCTTAAATGCACTTCCACCTGTGGCTATGATGCAGTATGATGGCCGTGTGTCAGGATGTTGACATTGATGATGAGGAAGTCATGGATGCCTGGAACGAATACTTAGATCGAATACTAAAGAAGGAGTAAGAAAGGGTTAGGGACAATCTAGTAGCAGCAGAATTAGTACAGGGACCATGCTGAAGGGTTGAAAGAGAATGAGTGAAGAAAGCATTTGATAGGTGTAGAAAGGAAAGGCGGATGGAAGCTCTGGAATGGTTATACAAATGCTGAAAACGTCATGTGATGTCAAGATTGAATTGATTAATGCAATCATGATTGAATGGTCTGTTCTAGCTGACTGGCAGAAGAGTGTGATTGTGAATACTTAAGAGGGAAAATGAGATGCACTTCAGTGAGGGAGCTACAGGGGCATGAAGCTGTTAGATCAGGTTGTAAAAGTTTTGGGGAGAGTGAATAAGAAATTTGGTAAGGGAGAGAGTGAACATTAATGAAATGCAGTGTAGGTTCATGCTAGAGGCAATATTTATGGCCAGAAATATCTAGGGAAGGAGAGAAAGCTGTATAGTCTAGTACAGGGTATAACATAAGTTAATACTTCTAACAAATGTCACAACTGGCCACAAGCTTCTGAAACATGAACAAACACATTTAACTTGATTCTCGGAACTTTTAATTTCAAATAAAGTAAACTATACAGCTCCTCCCCGACTTAAGACCTACTCGACTTAAGACCACCTGCACTTACGACCTGCCTCAGTCGTACCAAAATTTGGTCACATTACATATTTTCGAGTCCCAAAGTCAGTACACAGACAAAATTTTCGTTTTTAATTCACTTTAAAAGGCTGGCAAGCTTAAAAGTGAGTGTTTTGTGGTGCTGAGAAGAAAAAGAGACATCCATTTTAGATTTTCTATGTATTATTTAAGCATTTCCGACTTACGACCATTTCGACTTATGACCTGGATGTCGGTCCCTAACCCAGTCGTAAGTCGGGAAGGAGCTGTATTTGATGATTTTTTCTAATCTAAAGTACTACAGTATGCATGTAACAGTGTTTTCTTTATTTTTATTTTAAGAAGAAAAACAATTCAACTGAGCATGTGTGAGTGTGTGGAGGCAAAGCTTAACATAATTTTGTGTTAGACCTGGAGTAACATGGTTTGGTCCAGGAAACTGGAAAGCCTCAAAACTGGTGTGGTCTTGTTCTATAGGGTTCTAGATTTCAGGGTCAGAACTGTACTGTACCTGTATTTACTATCACCATATCTATGATCAGTCAGTAAAGTTTCCATCTTCAGTACTCAGTTGTTACAGTTTCTTCTACCCCAGAGCCTGCTGGTATTGTTTATTATTGTGTTTTGGAGAAATTTATGCAAATTAAGGATTTAGTTTATCTCATTGTTGTTCCTTTCTTATGTATATATTTTAAGTTATATTCTGTTACCTTTAATATGATGCTGGTCTTTGAACTAATATAATGATCTTATGTCATTTTACAGGATGGTGCTCAACAAGTTATTAGCTTTTCAAGGATCCATTCATATCAGCTCAGTGAACCTCATGACATGCATGTCTTCCCTTACCATTATGGGCAGGGCACGGCCACAGTTCCTTGGCAAGATTATCAATGCCCTTGAGATTCTCCATGGTAAGTATTTTTTCTCTTCTCTTCTCTTGTACAGAGCTACCTTTCCTATAATCAGACTTTTTACCATTTATAAGCCTTTTTTGCCAACTGCTGGATAACATTGTTCCCAAAATTTCACCACTGATTATGATAAAAGGGAGGGGGATGCTGTGCCCAGGTCCCATTGATATCTCTGAATTCAAGGGAACTTACCGTAGATCAAATTAAATAGAGAGCAATACAGTACATATACAATATTATTTGTTCACTATATGCTTTTATACTTTGTTTTCATATTTATTTCACAAAACATTTGCTACTTCATATATTCTTCTCAAGGAAGGTGTAGAGAAGAATGCTAATGATCCTGGCATGGAACCATCAAGCCTTCATAATCTTGTGTCATAACCATCAACCAGCACTGTGCCATGATGGTATCATACTGTAGTATCTCAGGTGTCAACAAGTACTTATCAGCTTACTGGTTGTTTTGGCAGTAATCTATCCAGTGTTAGCATAGGAAGAAACCTGAGACCGGGAAACCTGTGATGTTTTCATAGGGTCCATTGGATAACACCCTTCTCACATGTGTCTGGCCCGAGGCTTGAACCCTTGACATATTGGTGATATACATATACCTGTATATACAATCATGCGCCGGTTAACGTCCTAGATACGTTCTTGGAAACATGACGTTAACCGAAATGGACGTTGTCCGATCATCACATAAACTTTTTATTTATACCTATGTGTACAGTGGCCCCTCGGTTAACGAACTCAATCCGTTCCAGAAGGTCGTTCGTTAACCGAAACGTTCGTTAACCGAAACCATTGTTTCAATGGGTTTTTGGGTAATTGGTTCCACCTCACCGAAAATTTCCTAACTTCAACAAAAATGGCGGAAAAATTTACTTACTTTGAGGTGTGTATGTAGAAGGCTCCTGGATGATGGTGATGATGTGCATTTGAAGTGGGAGGTGCAGGAGGAGAAGGGAGAAGAGAAGGAAGTGGAGGTGGAGGAGAAGCATTTTACTGCTTCTTGGAAGGTGAGTCACCTTCCATGAAAATGTCAGGAACCTCTGGACTGACAGATTCTCCACCATGAACATCCTCTCTCCTTCTTGAAGTGGAAGGCTGAGGGCTAGCATCTTGTTCCCTCTGCCTTTTACTGAAGAAAGTGTTAATTGTGGTCTGTGGGGCATCTGTCCTCCTCACCATTAACTTATGTTTAAAGAAGGAGACCACTGAGTCCTCAACATGACACAAAGTTAGTTCAGTTTTTTCCACTTCTGGGTGCTTTGAAGCCAGTTCCCTGAACTTCTCTCAGTGGTAAATCACATCTTTCAACTGTTTAGCTGACATATGGTCATCACTTTCAATTTCCTCCTCACCACTGTCAGCCTCTACCCGTAACATCTCATCCAGTTCCTTCAAGTCATCAGGAGTAAGTTCCTCCTCATGAGACATCACAAGCTCTTCCACATCCTTCTCCTCCACTTCAAGGCCCAATGACTGACCAATGGACACAATCTCCTGGTCCAACTCTGTTTCTTCCTCAAATCCCTCAAAATCATGGACTACTGATGGCCACAGTGCTTTCCATGAAGAATTGAGGGATCTAGTGGAGACTTCTTGCCATGATGACACAATCAATTTTACAGCCTCCAGGACGTTGAATTGTGTCTTCCAGAACTGTTTCAGTGTTAGTTCAGGATCAATGGAAGTTGCCTGATGACACCTCCTAAACATTTTCTTCGTGTACAACTTCTTGAAGTTGCTGATTACATTCTGGTCCATTGGCTGTATGAGTGATGTAGTGTTTGGAGGCAAAACCAACACTTTCACAAAGTCAAATTGATACTCCAAATTTCTGGCAAGGTCAGGGTCATGACCAGGAGCATTATCCATGAGGAGAAGAGCCTTTAAAGGAAGGTTATTGGTGGTTAGGTAGCTCTTGACAGAGGGGCAAAACACATCAACAGCCCATTCATTAAAGAACTGTCTTGTCACCCATGCCTTACGGTTGGACTTCCAATAAACTCCAAGTATTGTTCTTACCACTTTCTGTTGCTTGAACACCCTGGGGTTTTCAGAGTGGTAGACAAGAATAGGCTTCAGTCGGAAATCCCCTGAAGCATTGGCACCAAGCAATAGAGTGAGACGGTCTTTCATGGGTTTATGCCCAGGTAAAGAGGCTTCATCCTTGGTGATGAATGTTCTTTTGGGCATCTTTTTCCAGAACAGCCCAGTTTCGTCAACATTGAACACTTGCTGTGGAAGATAATTTTCTTCTTCCATCAGTTTTTTAAATTCAATTAAAAACTTTGCTGCCCCTTCTTTATCAGCACTAGCAGCTTCACCATGCCTAACAACACTTAAAATGTCACTTCTTTTCTTAAATTTTTCGAACCAGCCTTTGCTAGCCCGAAAATCTTCAAATTCTGTTCCTGAAGAACCAGGTTGATCTGCCTTTAAATGTTCATAAATCTCCCTGGCTCTTTCACAAATGAAATCACCAGAAACTGAATCACCTTTCATCTGTTTTTCCCTAATCCAGATGATAAGTAACCTCTCAGTTTCTACGATTAGGGATCTACTTTTAAACACTCTTGTAGATTTGTCTCTCACGTTCACTTCCTTAAATTTGTCTTTTTGTGCAAGAATTGTCGACACAGTTGATGCCGACATGCCATATTCTTTGCATAGCGCATTTGATTTAATACCTTGTTCGTGTTTTTTTATTATTTCCTGCTTTATTTGGATTGAAATCACTTTTCTTGATCTCTTAGGCCCCATGCTGGATTCAAACAATGGCAACACGTATTTTTCAAAGTTAAACTAGCTGTAAATAAAGAATATTTTCTTTAAAATAACACTGCACTGCACTATATATTGTCAATATGTAAAATAATTTTCAAAATGACCAATAATTTGCTTGGAAACACAGAAAAAAAGCGTTTAGTTGAAGAGAGTCTCAAGCAAGATGTTACCTCCAGTGAAAACAGAGAGAGACTAACGCCTGTTTGCTGTGTTAAGAGGCTGGATGCCGCGCATTAAACTAGTCACTTTACCATCAATTTTGTTCAATAATTGTTAAAATGACTAAAAAATTGAATATTAAACTTTTAAAATTATTGAATAGTATAAACTTCTTGATATTTACAAAAATTGTAAGGAATTTAAGCCCTAGAACCGATTAATGTATTGGCGGACTGATACTAAAGCTGGTTGCCCGGTCAGTGCAAGCGAAAACATGTTGAGGTCGGTTCGTAAGAAGTTCGTTAAGCGAAATTTTTTTCGTTAACCGAATTGAAGATCCTTATGGAAGGCAGTTCGTTAATCGAAATTACGTTAACCGAGGTGTTCGTTAAACGAGGGGTCACTGTATGTGGAATACTATATACGTACATATACACTTTTACTGTTAAATCACTACTGTAATGTGATACAGGTGATTAATTTTTATCTCGTGCAAAATACATGACGTTTATATTAAAATTATTCACTGTTTTACAAGAATTCCAGCAACGCCAAGCAGATGGGGGGAGAGAGGGTGGAAGCGAGCGAGGGGGCGTGGTGGAAGGGGAGGTAGTACGTTTGACAGTTGGCACAGGCCCAGGTCTAACGCGTGTATATTTATCAGTTCTTAAGTGACTAAGCTTCTCTCTTATAAAAAGCCAGTGAAATGACCTGGGTGAATATAATTAACATAGCTGGGATTCTTGTAACATACTGATTAATTTGAATATAAACATGCTATAATTTGCACTAGACAAAACAATTTTAGTACCGTAATCAAATTAGTACATGTGCACTCCAGCTTTGCACTAAGGTCATTTATTTCTATTATGTTTCTTTTAGTATGGTGTGTGCATGTAAATGGATGAAAATAAATGAAGAAATCTATGTAAATCTACCCAAAAATACAGTTGAAAAACTTTTTTTATAAAATGTACTACAGTACTGTACACTAATGTACAACAATTTTTATCTCTTGAGCAAAATATATGACGTTTATATTCAAATTATTGGCTGTCTTGCAAGGATTCCAGCAATGCAAATTATAATCTCCTAACTTTAGTCTGAGATATTATATAAGATAAAAACTGTAAGCCTAAAAGCCTGGCTGGGGGGAGGGACTGATGGCTCCGCCACCCAGCGAGGGGTTGGGGGGGTTGAGGTGATAAGTTTGAGGTGAAGGTCTCTGTGTGTTTATTTAACAGTCCTACTAAGCTTCTTTCCTTTTAAAATGCCAGTGATATGACCTAGGAAAATATAATTAACATAGCTGGGATTCTTGTAAGATACTGATTTATTTGAATATAAACATGTTGTAATTCGCACTAGACATAACAATTTTAGTACCGTAATCAAATTAGTACATGTGCACTCCAGCTTTGCACTAATTTATTTTACGTTTCTTTTAGTATGGTGTGTGCATGTAAATGGATGAAAATAAATGAAGAAATTTATGTAAATCTACCCAAAAATACAGTTGAAAAACTTTTTATAAAATGTACTACAGTATTGTACACTAATGTACTACTTTTTTATATCTTGAGCAAAATATATGACGCTTATATTCAAATTAATCTCTGTCTTGCAAGGATTTCAGCAATGCAAATTATATTATCCTAACTTTAGTCTGAGATATTACAGTCAACCCTCACTTTACGCGGTTAATACAACCCACAGGGTACTGCGGAAAGTGAGAAACCCTTAAAGTGAACAACATAACATATGGGATTAATTGAAATAGAGACCGGGCCGACCCCCAAACTCCTCTTTTTGACGACACACAACTATGTTGTAGTAAAAAAAATTTCTTTACTTTATGATGGTATGCACACACAATTAATATAGAAGAGGTTAGGTTAGGAAAAATAAAGGTTAAGTTAGGAAAAATAAAGGTTAGGTTAGAAAAACTAAAAGTTAGGGTTAACACTTACGTTAGTAGAAGAGATGGGTCGGCATACGGGGATGGAGGCTGGTTCCGAGGCAGAGGGCAGGCTACTGGCCCT